AATGGGAATAATAACACATATCTTGTAATTTCGTTTTAGAGAATAAATAAAGTAACTTAGATGAAGGGCCTGGCCCCTGCAGGCCCTCAGTACGGTCCTACGCCTGGTGTCCTGGACAGGACAGAGTTTCCAGCCACATTTCTCTGGATTTAAATCCATGTTTTGAGACTTATTAGCTGTGTGATTTGGGGCAACAATTTGACCTTCTGGACTTTAGTTTCTTCCTCTCTAAAATGTAGATAATAATCCCTGACTGTCAAAGGTAGTACTGAGGACAAATAGGGTCTAGAACAAAATAAGTTGCACTTTTATTGTGATTGTACCTTTTGAAATAATCATTATAATTCAACTAGTGCATGAAGCAATGAAAATAAAGCAAATATATATACATTCCTTCAGAAAAATATATCATAAAAGAATAATTTGCAAAAAGCAGAATAAATAGGCATAAACACATGCTGACAACTACTTATAAAAAGGAAAGAAGTGTGCCTATGGTATTTTTGAGAGAATAGTAATAGTCAAACTGTTCTTCCACAGTTCACATGTTACACGGTGGATAGTTACTGTTAGCATTTTAATAGATTTTTGTCGCCACATTTGCTGGAGTTGAATTTGATATACTTACCCTCAGCCTTGGGATTCTGAGAAATTTTTTTGTTAGTAACTGTGTAAACAAGAGACGATAGACCAGGTTCAGGTCCTAGCTGTGTTCTTTCAAAGGACATTCCAGAGAGTGGAATAAAGAGAGGTCAGTTCACAGGATTATATCTTCCCATTCCAGGACAGGGAAAACAATAAAAATGGTAATTTCCTCATTCACATTCACTATAACTGTTATTCTCTCTTTATTTGACTTTTCACTGTGAGACATTTCCAAACCTTGGGAAGTCACTTGGAAAATACATGGAAATATTTTGTTCTCTATTGGAATGAAGGTGAACTGGAGCACAAGAGAAATAAAGATATGTTTCCCCAACTTTCCTCAAGTGACAAAGACCTGAAACAGAAAGAATATTCTCTTGGGCTGCCTCCAGCTCTCAGATATGAAACCTATTCCCTAGCTTGGTAAGATTTAGGGAAAAGAACAAGTAAGCATTGTTTCTGTGGGAAATTCAAAGCATTTGATAATATTCCAGAGTTCCCCTTGACTGAATGCAATCTTATCAATTCAATTAGCACAGGAAATTAAAAGGATTATGCCGAAAAGACATTTAGTAATATTTCCAAGTGAATGGAAGAATTCTTATTTTTCTCATTGATTTATCAGAGGTAGGAACCAGAAGATATACAAAATTCTAAAAGTCACAGACAAAACTGGTGTTAAGATGCATTTATATTCGGACCCTAAAAACTGTTTGCTTAAGATTTTATTCATTCATTTTCAAGCATTTATTATGGATCACTGTTGACAAGCACTGTCCTTGTCACTAGGTGATGAGAGGAGAAGACAAGTCCCTGCTTTGGTAAACCATTCTTGTAGGGGAGACAGACAATAAGCCAGACAATGAATAAGGCAACTGCAGTTGGTGCCAAGTCCTATAAGGTTAAGATGATAGGGAGGGACAACCATGTTAGATAAGGCCATCTTATTCAACACTTGAGGACAGCTGGGCACGGTAGCACATACCTGTAATTCTAGCGGCTCGGGAGGCTGTGACAGGAGGATTGCAAGATCAAGGCCAGCCTGCCACAGTCTGGCGGGGCACAATTCAG